AACTTTATTTATTTGACAATGTGCACCAGGCAGTATTCTCTAGCATGTATTGTACAATATGAACTCGTCAAAATGGCAAAACCTTCTAATTCAAAACACTGATGATAAATGATACCAAAATAAAGTGTTCCCAAACACAACAGATCTAAATTTTTCATTTTCCAATACAGCGTTCAGGTCAAAAGCAACTCATTGGGGACCAACAACCTTCTTTAAATGTAAATCTTCAAACAGTATAAAAGTAATTTTCAGTTTAAAAAGAAGTATTTTAAATTGCAAAAAGTTAAGAAACATTTTTAGTCATAAATTATACAACATGCAAGTACGTTATCCATTGAAAAGGCTGCATCTAATAAACACATATTTTAATATTTTTTCTTGTTATTCTTCAGATGTGCCATTTATTTTTTTAAAGATGAATGTGCTTGTTTATATATCAACATAAAGCAAACATTTCTGCTATCTTTTTAAATTAAAGACATCAATGACTGCTGACACTAGTGGGGGCTCCTTGTGGCAGGCAAGGTACGAAGCCGGTTGACAATTAACTACTTGAATACATTTCTCAAGTAACACAATTTAATACTTCTCATAGAGTGCTTTTCATATTAGTTTCTTTCACAATATAACTTTGGTTGGTTCCGTTCTCTCCTGGCCTCTGGTGGTGGAGATTATAAACTTCCAACAGTGTCTGGGGCTACAATTTCTGAAGCAATTAATCCACGATGATGCCTGATCTTGGACAAGTATTTGATTCAAGTGTATGTGTCAGCTGAGCTATATATCCATGCAGTTCACTATGTCAGTAACAAAGACATTCAAGTAATCAACATCAGAGACTGACCGGCAAGCAGATGCAGTATCCCCTTGCCAGAAGTTAGCTCACACAAAGGATTTTGGTAAAACTTTTATGTCAGTGTAAATTAATACAGTACAATAAAAATAATTTAGACAAGCATAAGATGTGTACTGCAGCATTAGAGATCATTAACATGAATTGTCCCTAGTCAGTACTGAATGCTTTAACACACTTACATCATTCTTAATTTCACAAACATGGCATATGCAGACAAAGTTAAGTAAGGCTACAAAAAATTAATAGCAAGATTATGGCAGAAATACACATGTGGCGGGTTCCCGATACTAAAAAGGTGTTTGTTATTCACAATGTCCATTTTTCTATCCATCTGTGAACAATAATAGCATATAAACCGTACAAATAAATATCCATCAAATTTATATTCCTGAATGCTCTTGTCAAACTTGAAGCCCTATAAATTTGAAATGGATCTTTCACATACAGCCCTTAGGATGTTCTCAGAAGTTTCCTCAAATTTGTTTTTTAATGTTCTTAGTGTATTTTGCTTTATTTTTTTTGAGTATTCCAATTTTCATTCAATTCTGCAATTTCAAAAACTGCAGAAGTCAAAAACTTGTGAATCCTGCCCTACACCTTCAATATTGAGATTTCTTTCTTAAAGAAATCTGTTCTTCAATATTTTATCACTAAATTATTTTATACACAGTTATATCAAAATATCAGCAGTTTTCATATAATTTTGAGTCCAATCAAATGAGTTTTCCAAAAATATATATAATATATTTATTTTTATTCACAGCTCCAAGTTTTTTGTCTAACTAGAGAACAATGCATTAAATTTCATGACATTAGCACCATTTTCATTCAGAGGTTTGATTAAATTTTGAAAAATTACTCAATTTTTTAAAAACATTTTACATATTAATATTTACTTTACATGTGTGTTTTATTTTTTAATGTATTTGTGAACAAGATGGGAAAACTTTATCCTGTGTTTATGAAAGAAGAGAAAGAGAGAGACAAACAAATACACTTAAAATCATTGTGAGGTACAAACAAACCCTCTTGGCTTGAAACCGAGGTCATAGGTTTGATCCTGGCAAGGTAACAGAAATTGGCATTGTGTGTTAAACATTAGGGAGTTTGTGGTGTCTGCTGAAATTAAATTCAAAGGTCAATTGCATGGATCAGTGGTTGCCATGATTTTGCTGATCACTTCCAGATGAATGCCAGAGCAATATCCTGTATAACAGGCCATGCGACCACCAACACCACCACCTTCATCATCATGCCTTCGAATCATCACCACCACCACCATCTCCCCCAACCTGGACTAGTGATGCCATGAATTGATATGTTCCATCCTACCCCCCCCCCCCTTCATTGCAAGCATACACAAGAACGCCCAGAGAAAACCAAGGGTCTGGATCAGTTAATTCACTGGGACCCCTCACTTCAAACAAAAAATTCCCTTTTCCCCCAATTTATAAACCTAATTCATTTTCCCATGCATCAGAAATATCTTAGTGTTAAATTTGGATTACAGATTAATACATTGAGCCCAATTGGTCTCCCGACATGTGTGGTAGTGTAGCGCATTTTAATGACAATGTGTATAAGTAAGAGTGAAAATAGGACAAGTTCATGGCCCATTTATGAGGGAACTGTTCAGGCATTCTCCCGAGTTAATCAGAAACCATGGAAACCAATCAGGTCATCAGCTGCTAGAATTCTCCCCAGACAGTGGCTGAATTGGACCTATCTGGGTACAATAATACACTTGAACCCTAGGACCTCTCGGTCAGAGGTACCACACAGATATCAGTTGATGCTCTGAGCTACTTGAGGCGGTGATACATTTCATATCAATGATGTACTATAGTTATTTACTATAGTTTAACAGTTAATATAAGATCAGATAATGTTATTAACACTGATTCCTATTGTCATCCTCTTCTGAATACTCATTTAATTTGTTCATCAACATACATATTAGTATTTCGATCATACAGAGAAGGTGAAATAACAAGCCACTTCACTTGACTCTTAAATTAACCTACTTCTCTACAGCTGCAAATTCAACCAGAAATTCTAAATTAAGTGGTGTTTGTTTTTGGTAAAATTTTAATGTACACACATTTCACTTGAAATTCGTATCAACAAGGCAGGACAAAAATGAACACTACTTAAAGAGAGCATCGTAAGGAATATAAATACAAACAAGCTAAATTCAAAATATTGTAAGTTTTATAAAAGTAAAGTTATGTACTAAGTTCTACATGCAAATATATTATGATTAGTTTATACACAAACCTGACATTGAGATGAAAAAGACAGCACAGGTTAATAACACAGCAAAGGTTATATAAAACATTTGGCAAAAAATAAACACTAACATTTCAATATCTGACATCATACATGGCAGCATTACGAGAAGGAATAACAAACGAACAAAAGGCAGACAAAGACACAATTGTGCTTATACGTTTTCCTCATTTCCTAATAATTTCTAATTTTAATCATGAGGTTTTGCCACCTATATGACAAAGTCATCATCATCATCATTAAGGATTAAACTGTAAGCCTCTTCCTGTATCCATCAGACAATATCCACATTAGCCACTGATTAACTTTGTTGTGCTTTATTTATAGTATTAGACACTGCATGACAGCCTGTTGCCACAATGCAATATGGTCAATAACTATGTCATGAAAAAGTAAACTGATCAGACTGCACGGTCCTGCTGATATCATTATGTGATCAACTATGGACTAATATAGATAACAACCATATATCTATAGAGTAGGGTGCCTGGGAGGAGGCTGAATTTTCACAAGACACCAACTTTCAAGCAATAGGAAAATATTTTGTTTTTAATTGTGCCAAAATGAAAGTTTAATAAGAAGTGATGTAACCATAGGACAGCATGTTGATCACAGGCTACAAAAGCTGTGACACCTAGAAATTAAATATTTAGGTCTTAAAGTTCTACAACTCCTTGCAAATTTTAAAATACAAGTCCTATCAACAGTTGAAATTAATTCAATCATAACATACATTCAAAATATTAGTTTGCTACAAAAGCATGAACAATTCTTTACTCTATGAATTCTAGTGCAAACACAGACAAATGTTGTCCACCAAATGTCAGAATAGAAGCTCATAATGGTTTTCACAAAATGAATTCTACTTATTCTTTAATACAATTTGAAATATTTTAACTTTGATTCTCAATATATACCAACCATTTAGATTAATTTTTGATCAAAAATAGGAATTCAAATTTTGAAAAAATGAAGTGTAATTATTATATAAAATATTCTGAAATTAATATCTAATGTCCTATTTAAAAGAACATTAAATAAACAATATTACTGTCCTGAAAGTATTCGTATGCACAATAAACAAATACTGCTATTTCATAAAGTAAATAATCACTACTTGCATGCTCTATCTCTTAAACAATATGGACGTGTCTAACCAGAGTGATCTAAGTGATAAATTTAATTTTGTAAAGAAAGAGCAATTAACTTTCGATTATTATAATTTAGAAATTGTTAAGCATATCTCCCACAACATAATGTGTTGCTAGGTGATAAATACAATTGGTGAAAGATTACTCATCATCTCAAGCAAATGGAAGAATATATTTTCTCTTTTTTGGCACGGTAAATTAAAAGGCTGGAGTCTTGTATTAGGTACAACTTACGGAAGTCGTTTAAACTGGCACTTTGCACCACTCCGGAGATAAATGCACAGCTTGAATTATGGAGGCTTTCTTGAAAAGTGCTTTCTCATTAAAGTGAATTGGTAATTATGCATTGGATAGCCTCAAACATATTTATAGTGAACACGAGGGCTGAAGGCCCGAGCCTCACCGTGACTTGGATACGGGCGAGTAAAGCGAGAAAACTTGCCCTTGAAAGTAAATTGGCATTACAATGTGGTGGGAACAAAGCATATTAAGGGTGAGACAAAAATCGCCTACTTATAAGTTTTATTCTCTTCTATCAAAGCACGTAACGTAATTTGAGAGAGGGCTTAAGGAGGACCCGCTACCACACTTCTGTACTGTGTTTCCTATTTTAACCTAAAAATTTTCTAAAGTGGCGCTTAGATCACTATGGTTGTATATGCACCCTCTATTATCAGATTGTTTAATAAGACATTCATACACACCATTCAATTGATGTTCTGTAATGTACTGGCTCTGATTGTCTGATGCAGTAGGATCTTCACCATAATGGTACTCCATCAAATATGGCAACACAGTCATTGAATGAAATTCATCTTCTCGTAATGGAGGTACTGGCACAAATTCTAAAGTCCTGGCAGGTTTCCGTCCAAACCATCTGTATAATATAAAAAAAAATCCATAAAATGCAATTAAACTAAACTTTCTACTTTAAAATAAACACTACTAACAATTAAACAAAACAACTTCTACTTTAAACAAACAGACCAAAAACAATCCATACCAACTCATACCAACACAATCCTCCAAATGAAAGAGAATTGTAGAAACAAAATGATAAGAAAATGGTCTTACGGATGCTGTCGTATTTGCTGCAGAGAAATTCTCATTTCAGGCTCCTTCTGTAACATTCCTTCAATAAGACTTCGAAGGGGATTTTCAATTTCACTTGGAATAGTGTATTCACCTTTACCTATATTTTCAAATAGCCTATAGATATTGTCTCCTTCAAAAGGATACAGACCAGTAGTAATATTGTACCTAAGACAAATAAACAGCTTCAGAACATACATTTAATGGGTAAAATTAAGATTACACTGCTGACACACAAGTGAAATTTTATATTTTAATTCATTGCTTACAAAGTAACTCCACAGCTCCAAATGTCCACTTTAAAGCCAGCAAATGTTTCATGGCCATTTGCAATCTCAGGAGGTTGGAATGCAGGGGATCCTTGCCCTGTTGTGCATGTATCATCTTTGGCAAACATATCTAAAGCCTAACAAAAAACATTCATGAAGTGCACAGTTTTATTACTTGTACTTCACATTAAATTGAAATGTCATACTTCAGCAACACCAAAATCTGATATTTTCAATGTTCCATCTAAAGCTAGCAAAAGATTCCCTGGTTTTATATCCTTATGAACAATTCCTTTGCTGTGAAGATATTCCAATCCATCTATGAGTTGGCTAAAATACCTGTAACAATAAAAACTTTGCAATGATTATTGTCACCTCTTGTTGCAAGCAAATATGATACTTCAGCAGTGTACTAACTAACCCATGAGCTTGCCAAAGAGGAAATTTTTTCTTAGGAGTACTTTCCAACATATCCTGGAGACCACCAACACAATACTCTAAAACCAAATACATTTTTTGTTTTTCTTCATTGAATAAAACATCCACCAGGCTTATCACATTCTTATGCTTCAAAATTTTCAACAACTGAATTTCTCTGCAAAAAAAAAACAATGACATAAATGGTATTGCAAAGAAAAAAACTGTTCTTGAAGCATACTATGTACAATGAATATAACTTAAAATTTTATAGTTGATAACATGAAATATGTAAACATTTTACCACTTCATCAATCTGATAGTTCATACCTTTGAACATTCTGTTCACCATTTGGGATCCTCCTAAGTTTTCTGGTTTTCAATATTTTCACAGCCCGTCTACAGAGTGTTTCAGAATCAAGCACTTCTTTAACCTTTCCATAAGCACCTTCCCCTAGTAAGTCACCCATCACATATTTACCTATCATTTTACACCTCTTTTTTTTAGTCTGGTAAATAATTTGATCAGAGTCAACTCTATGAAAAAACATGTTAACGTCTGTGTCATCATCATTTGACCACGTAACAGGTTCTAAATCACCAAAAATTCTGGAATTCAGTTCTTCTTCATCAAGAGGGCACTCGTCACTTAGTGTCATGCTCTTGTCCATTTTACCAACAGAAATACGTAACTACTACCCGATTTACAACACCGGAATCACTCATTTCTGCAAACAAAACACTAATATTTTACATTTACTTCACTTAATTATTCGACTTTCGAATCACTTCAAGGGATAGGGACAACCAGAAAATCTACTAAAAAGACCGCACCAATCTGAGGTTATGCTTCTTTCGTTACGTGCGGGATGCGAGTTTCAAGTGTTTCTGCGCTGACCTATACGGATGCTCAAAGAGGAATGAGTTTCATATCTCTCTGTGTCATACTTTGATATTACGTCATACCCAAGACTACAGGCGGAATTCTTGAACTGAACGAAATCAACAACGTAGTGCAGTCGATAAACCATTTTGCCTGGCGAGAGGTGAGGTGAAGGATTTTATTTATTTTATTTTGTTATATTGTTAGTAGTGAGAAAATCCCAAGTTTTCACCTCGTAATACTTAAAGAAAAGTTTTGATAGCCAAAAAACAAACATTTTCGGGCATCTTTTGGTTTTTGCTGAATACCTTTTTCATGGTTGATTTTATTGCAAAAATGGTTCTGAACGAATTTAAATGACATAAAATTCTCTTCAAATATGCTTTATAAATATATTTTTTCCAGCCAACAGTAACAAAGCTAGGAGATTTTAAAATGTCACCAATTTTTTTTATTTTGAAATTGTCCAAAATTACTAATTCTCTCTAATGTAACATTTTTAAATTCTTAAGGTAATTTAAGTTAAATAAAAAGCAAAAACTCATAACTCCTGTAGTTTTTAATCATTACTTAGGTTCAAATCGCGTTTGAAAGTTTTGGTATGAGTGGCAGAAGGACTATACTTTCTGGAAACTAACACGAATTACTTATATCAAAAGCATTTCCGTGGAATCAAATGACGTTCTTCTTCCTCTTTATAATTGTTATTAATTATATATACATATTATTATTATTATTATTATTATTATTATTATTATTATTATTATTATTATTATTATTATTTACAACCACAAAAAGGCCGCCCTATCCACAAATACATTGTGAGCACAAGGTTATGGAGTTTTCCTTAAAACTATCAAATCACTGAGGATGAAAACCCCCAAATGGGTCGGGTCGGAAAATAACTCGTCTTGCTAACGAGAATTTGGTCACAGAAGAAGCTTCATACCACCTTTCCAGACAAAAGAAAATTTTCAGGCTGACAAGAAGAAAGGATTTCGCTTAGCCACTAATATTGATGATCCTATGGAATTCATATATTCTTCACTTGAACACTACTCTGATGAATACCACTATCTTATTGATTTGATGGGCGAATGGAGGGAGATAGTCGCACAGTATACTAGTGCCTCCTTCAAAAGTTTGGAGAAGACATATTGATAACAGACAGCAAACAGTACATCTGTGGTTTATTTTCGAAATGTTGAGTACAAAATATTAAATGATTTCTGGTATCGAAGAAATAGTATCGCAGATACACGTCTCAGAGTCTGAAGTAGCAGCTGATCCATTTACAGGTACATCAAATAAAGGAAAACCTTCCTGCAAACAATTTCTTACATAATGTAGAATAGGTCGTGTCAGATACGTTGCCTTATTGTTTGAGACAGGGATTTTAAAACTCAAGAACGGTGCAATTGACTCACGGAAAAAAGAAATGTATACCGTTGGCTCCTACCGTCGTATTAGCAGTAAGTTTTTTTCTCTTCCCTTTTGTCAGGGGTTAGCGTATATTTATTCAAGACGTTTGAATCAAAGCCACTTGGATTCGTTTTACCATACATTGAAACTTCATTACATGAAACATCTAACGTTCTGTTAAATAAACAATCAAAACTAAAATAATGAAGAATTCTGTCAGTTCGTGTTTGACAACGCAGATCATAATGTGAACACATTGGGTCAAATACTTTCCAATCATGGGAGGAATAATGAAAATAAATCCCTAATCTGCAATTGAGCTTCTTTTAAAAATAAATCCCCGTCATCAATGCGTGTTATTTGCTGATCCCATTCATATTGATAAATATTGATGTCGACGGTTTTCAGTTGCATTCATTATTGATGTTCTCAAGGAAAACTTCATAATCTTGTGCACACAATTTATGTGTCTTTTTTGTGATTCCATTAATTCAGTTGTATTATTTCCCAATCACGAAGTAATAGATTTTGAAATTTAAGTACTTATTATGTGATCTAAGAGTTGATACCTGGCTGAGACTACTCACTTTCCTTTCGAGTTCATGAAGAAAACAATTTTGAATTAATATTCTTCGTATGATAAGGTTTTAGCACAGTCACATCCTTCCAAAAGAACAATTTTTGAATTGTCACGAGTCCTTTTCTCTTCACCACAACCACTTCACCTTCGTGTTTTTTTAATTTTTTTTTTCGGCTTAACCGTGGGTTTGAGTAATTATAGTTGTGTTGCAGTGCGCAAGCATTTTGCGGTTTACTGCTATATGAAAGTGGCTGGTGTGGGTTCGTGTCCGACCTTAGTCAATAGCCAAATCGGCTTTTGTATTACACTACACCTTTAGAATATCAGAGGGGAGTGGTTGTCTTCTTTGCGCTATTGTGAGGACGTGTCGGGCTAATTGTTTTAGCGTTGCCGGAGCTTCGTTTGAAAGGCTTGGTAGGCTTTGTTAAACGAAAGCTGTCTCAGGCACTGAGGGAAGGACTCGATATCAAGTTCATTCCTCAGTGCTTTCAACCGTTTCCGAAACTTCACCTTCATCCTCAAACTGTCCGGAAACGAAAATGACTATTTTTCAAATATTGCTAATCTTGTGATTTTTAAAATTTATTTTTATTTATTAATCTTAAACTTTTGCTCATCTTTCAACTATTTATAGTTAAAACGACGGGAAAGGATTCTGGAACTCAAGAAAACGTGCGCAGATAATCTTCTCCCCCTACGTTACATACAGTTTTTACTGTTTTTGACTGAATAAATCCGAATTCCCCTCTCGTATTAAAGACCCTACCGATATACATACCTAAACATTATTTATTAATCGTTATTTATTATTATTATTATTATTATTATTAACTTGATTGGCCACATTGGACCACTTGAGACGTTCCACTTCACTAGTTCATGGTCGACTGTCGAAGGTGTTTTGTCACCTTGAGGTGAGGATAAATCCTCGAGTTACAATTCTTTCTGTCATTCAGAAAGGTGATAATGAGAGATGGAGGATGATGTTATGAATAGGGGATGAAAGGACGAACTCATAACCATGCCCGAGGCGGAACTCGAACCCGCGATCCTTCGGTCCGAGATCGCTACGGCACTACTGCCTTAACGATCTCGGCCACCGGATCGGCCCGCTAACGTTATTTACTGCAAACGCCCCGTTCAAAAAGCGTCGAGAGGGAAACGAGCGAAGTAACTCAATATAGAAACCCTAATAGGAGTAGTACAGCGGATATGGCGTGGCCGAGATTTAAGATTTCAAAATCTGTTGTAAATAATAATCTCCATAATGGCTTTTCGTAAAAATTACGTATTTTGATAATTATGAAACGCATTGTTAAATATTATTTATCATTTGCAAGTTAACTAAAGTCAAGTCAAACTATTAAGTTGGTATTGTAGTGAATCATATTCTCACTGTTATAAAATAACAATGTATTTTTGCCTCACTTTGGGCATGCCATTGTAGTAAATCGTAATTTTTCTTTATTATTTAATCGCAATATAGTTTAGATCATAGTCTCTTTTATAATTAAATCCACTATATTCTGCCCTTATAGTTTCTTTCAATTTAATCTAATTGAGTGGCTAGCTCTAATTTTTATTAAGGTTTTGGGCGACTGCACCTATGCATTATCTCAGGGTACTGTCCTGTTTCTCGTGTACTACAAAATACCGCTCATACGATGGTGAGGATTTAATTTTGTTAGGAAATATCATTTAATTAATCTTATTCAAAAATCAAACAACTTGTAATTTGATACGGATTTGCCAGCGACATTATCAGCTGCAAAATTAATTTATTTCAGTATTCGAATTGTTTTAAAATTTAACTATCTCATTATATTTGTCTTCCTGTCACCTATTATGAAAATGGCCATCAATATTTATTTTTAAAAAAATGACAATTCTTTTTCTAAATTAATATTGTACCTTCAAATTAGACATGTCTTGGCCTTGCTAAATATTTTTACTAAAGTTTTTTGTTTCACTTATTGTCTAAACGTCCCTTTGCGAAGACTATTGCAACAATCATGGCGTTGGAACGAGATCAGCGACAATTCCATAATTCCATACTGAAGCTCTTATTACCACACTGAATTTAGCTTCTAAGTTTTGCTACAATTCGCGACCTGAATTTTCCACTCATATTACTATTTTTCGCTAATCAGCTATAGTTAATTTACTTCCCTATTCCCTACTCGTGGACCACGTGTCCATTTTCTATCTCACACGTACAACAAAATATTTTTACTTCACGCCCTGACGGCCATCGATCCTCACGCTACAAAATCCAACCTAGTTCTGTCCCAAAGCGTTTGTTTTCCGCTACGATCTGTCTCAACTAGTTCACTTCTTTGATTGTTATTACTTTGAATCAATGCGCTCTTGTCGCCCCCGCAACCACGCATCTCGCCTCTCTTGTCCCATATCAACAATGTCCCTTATTATTAATATGATCAGTTTTCGAAAAAAAATTAATTGTCCAAACTTTATTTATTTAATCCATATAATATTTGCATTTTCTGAAGCCTTGCATTCTCTATGACTCATTTTAATTTGTGTCTTTGCGTAATTCCTTATATTTCACTTGTTATATGGCATTATAAGCATGGGGTTTTGCTTTTCGAATACGAAAATCCCAAAAGGTATTTTTGCATTCCTTCAGTATTAGTTCAGTAAAAGTCAGATTAAGTTAGTTCGTAGTGAAAAGTATTATGTTAGTGCTTCTGGTATGAATGCGATGTACATCAATGCGATGTTTCGTTGCTCTTCTTTGTACCATTCGTCGCTCGTGTGTTTTTGTAACAAAAATATAAATTACTTTTGGATTACACAGAGTCAAAATTACTCACAGTCTATTGTTAAACTAAAACGAATGTTTTGTCTTTTCAGCGCTTTTTGTTGTAGTTCAAATATATGAGTTTATTGACAAGCTGGTATATCATTTTCGCCCAATCTCAAACACCATTAATTTGCAAGACGCATCATAGTACTCGTAGTATATTTCAGTGGCGTATCCTCACTCTCTAGGGAGTTGGCAGTGAAGGAAAGCGTTAACTTCCACACTACTCTTTTCGCTTACATATTTAGAATAAAATTGAATTATATAAACAAAATAC